TTATCTCTGTTTATTTTGGCCTCGCGGCCAGCTTGAGCCGGGACTGATAAAGATATTTCCTTTGAAGTTCTGTCTGGCTGTCGTTTGTGAACGAGCGAAGAGGGGGGGTCAGAACAGGCAACATATAAATTTAATAACATACGTACATTTGTGTAGGGCGGTCTGTGATGCCGGTACTCGATCCACGGAGGCACAGCTAACGTCCGATTCATCGTCTTAGCGAATGCCAAAGATCCAAGGAAGTGATCTGCTTGATTCCCAAATCTCCCTTGGAACAAAACAGAAAGGATCATTTCTTACTGGGTAAGGAAAGGGCAGCATTAAATCTAGACAGGCTTTTATGAAGAGCTTTACTGCTTTTGAGTTCAACCACGAGGCTGAAATTACAGATACGGGAATCCTCAAAATTTCTGCTGCTAAGCGAGATGGTTGTTAAGTGAGTCTTGCCCCATTTTAGAACCTTTCCTGCTCCAGCTCTTAAGTGAATCACTGCAATTATTAAGTTAGCAACAGGTTGTTAAGTGAGTCTGCTTTGGCTGTCAGGTCAGAAGAGATAATTGTATCACCCCCAGGACACTGCAACCACCTGTGCCCCAAGGTCCGGCTTAACGGCCCTCCCTTGTCAGGACTCCCAAGGTGCACAGGGATGATGGGAGTTGTAGTCCACAAGTCATAAAAGGCCACAAGTCCAAGTCATAAAAGGTCTATGGTTCCCCACTCCTGCCCTAAAGCCTGGCTTAACTGCCCCCACTTGCCACCAGGACTCCAGGGGACGATGGGAGTTGTAGTCCACCAGTCATAAAAGGCCCACGGTTCTCCACTCCTGCCCTAAAGCCTGGCTTCAGTGCCCCCACTTGCCACCAGGACTCCAGGGGATGATGGGAGTTGTAGTCCACAACTCATAAAAGGCCCATGCCCCCCCCCTGTGCCCTAGAGCCTGGCTTAATCGCCCTCCCTTGCCAGGACTCCAGGGATGATGGGAGTTGTAGTACAGCCCCCAAAGGTAGGCGTCCCCTCGGAGGCCGGCGGTGCAGGGCTGGCGGGCAAAGCGAGGAGAGCCGGGGCAATTCCCCCCGTTCCATGCCGTCCACTCAACCCGGCGGCGGAGGGGCAGAAACGGCAGCCCCGAAGGGAGCGAAGCGGCTGAACCGGGCCTCACCCATGCAGGGGCAGTAAAGCAGGTATCCGGACGGGTCCCAGCCATCGTCGTCGGCGCCTCCCAGGCTCGGGAGGGCCAGGCAGAGCAAGAGGACGCCGACTGCTTCGAGCGCCATCGCCACCTCGGCCTACAGAGGAGGCCGAGGCCTATTTAGGCCTCTTGGGCCGTCTCCATAGCAACAGGCTCGCCCGGCCACGCCCCTCCCGCCCGGCGCCGCGCGTCAGGGAGGGCAGGACAGGGTGACTTCCGGTCGGGGCCGGAAGTGGCGCCATGGAGGCCTTGAGCGGCGGCGCGAGCCAGCCCGCCTGAGGGGGAAAAAAAAACCAAAGGCTTGCTGGGCCGGAGGCCTGGTCGCCTCCGTCGCCTCCTTCCCTCCCGGTACCCTCCCCGCCATGGGGCCTCTGCCTCGCCCCTGGCTACTACGGCAACCTTCGGGCCTTCCTCCCTTCCCTCCGGGCTCTCGAGGCGCCAGGAGGGGAGCCACGGCGGCGGCGGCAGCGGTGAGCTCGGAAACGAAGCGGGAAAGAGGCGTGGGGAGGGGGGGGGGAAGAGGCTACCTCCCAAGTACGCATGCGCATTGCGTGAACGTCTCGGCGGGACATTTCGGGTGCCCGTGAATTGAGTGGGGGGGGCGCCCGCCTTTCTAAGGCCAAAGGCCCCCCAAAACCCTGAAGATTGTCAGGAAGGGTCTTTGGATATTTTTATTTTCCCTTGGGGTCGCTTTACTTTGGCCTTGTGGTGGTGGGGGGGTTGTTCCTTTTGCATATGAGGCATTTTGGCCTTCCTCGGGACCCGTTTCTCTCAACCGTGGCTGCTTGGAGGTGGGTGGACTTCAACTCCCAGAATTCACAGAGTGAGAGAAGTCCACCACATTTTAAAGCATGCTGGCTGGGGAATTCTGGGAGTTGAAGTCCCCCCATCTTAAAGCCTGATGGATGGGGGATTCTGGGAATTGGAGTCCCCTCATCTGAAAGCATGATGGGTGGGGAATTCTGGGAGTTGGAGTCCCCCCATCTTAAAGCCTGGTGGATGGGGGATTCTGGGAGTTGAAGTCCCCCCCCATCTTAAAGCCTGATGGATGGGGGATTCTGGGAATTGGAGTCCCCTCATCTGAAAGCATGATGGGTGGGGAATTCTGGGAGTTGAAGTCCCCCCATCTTAAAGCCTGGTGGATGGGGGATTCTGGGAGTTGAAGTCCCCCCCCATCTTAAAGCCTGATGGATGGGGGATTCTGGGAATTGGAGTCCCCTCATCTGAAAGCATGATGGGTGGGGAATTCTGGGAGTTGAAGTCCCCCCCATCTGAAAGCCTGATGAATGGGGGATTCTGGGAGTTGAAGTCCCCCCCCCCATCTTAAAGCCTGATGGATGGGAGGTTCTGGGAATTGGAGTCCCCTCATCTGAAAGCATGATGGGTGGGGAATTCTGGGAGTTGAAGTCCCCCCCATCTGAAAGCCTGATGAATGGGGGATTCTGGGAGTTGAAGTCCACCCATCTTAAAGCTCCTGGATGGGGAATTTTGGGAGATGAAGTCCCCTCATCTTAAAGCATGGTGGGTGGGGAATTCTGGGAGTTGAAGTCCCCCCCATCTGAAAGCCTGATGAATGGGGGATTCTGGGAGTTGAAGTCCACCCATCTTAAAGCTCCTGGATGGGGAATTTTGGGAGATGAAGTCCCCTCATCTTAAAGCATGGTGGGTGGGGAATTCTGGGAGTTGAAGTCCCCCCCATCTGAAAGCCTGATGAATGGGGGATTCTGGGAGTTGAAGTCCACCCATCTTAAAGCTCCTGGATGGGGAATTTTGGGAGATGAAGTCCCCTCATCTTAAAGCATGGTGGGTGGGGAATT